TGAGTTTTGTCCCATTTTATGACCTTTCTTGCCATGGCTGTTAAGTGAATCACTGCAGTTGTGAAGCGAGTCACATGATCATTAAGGGAATCTGCCTTCCCCATTGCTTATCAAAAGGTCACAAAAGGGGATCACGTGACTCTGGGACACTGCAACCGTCATAAGTATGAGTCAGTTGCCAAGTGGCTCAAGTTGGATCACGTGGCCCTGGGGAGGCTGCAATGGTTGTAAGGTTGAAAAACGGTCCTAAGCCCCTTTTTTCAGTGACGTTGTAACTTTGAACGGTCACTAAATGAACTGTTATAAGCCGAAGACTACGTACGTGTTGTTGTCTGCAAGTCAACACAATTGCAAAGAGCAGAAGCCACCGGATAGCCCTATTTGTAGCAGGAATCGCAGGAACAGTGTCGAACAAATTCTCGAAAGCACCTTTTATTTTTATTTATTATTTTATTTATATTTCATGTTTCTAGATCATCCCTTTCCCTCAAGGGAGAAGAGTTACAAAATTACAAGAAAGGGTAAGGATACAGTCTTACTAAAGTGCTTGAAAGCAGAAAATACAATTTTAAAATCTTTATCTGATCCATTTGTCCAGAATGGCATAGGTTTGAGCAGCGGGGTTGGACTAGAAGACCTCCAAGGTCCCTTCCAATCCTATGATTCTATATTCTATTATTATGGGAGTTGGTCCTTTATTCTCCTCTTCACACAGCTAGCTATACTCAAATGAAATTGGGATGCAGTGCCTTGTGTGAATTCAAGCAAGTGAGTTTCTCCAATAAACCTGGGTCAGTTTTAAGACCGTGTTTGCCAACCTAGGCAATTTCCAGATGTGCAAACTTCAGTGCCCAGAATTCTCAGGGATGGGCGTTGCTGTTGGGGGAATTCTGGGTGTGGAACTGCACTCCACTGGGTGGTGTGGCATTGCCCAGATATTCCTTGTGACCAGCAATTTATTGTTCTTTGCAAGCTGGGTGGAGAATTTTGAACAGGACTGGATTTCCAGTTCCGTTTCTGCTTTGGCTGCTTTTCCTGCCTTCAGGGGCAGTCCCAGCTACAATGCAATGTAGCAGTCTGGACCAGAAATTTCTGAGTCTCAAACAAAGTTGGATAGCAATTGGATTCACACGACTGGCTACTTGCTAGAGCAGAATTAGGTTGGATAGCGTTTCAGCAGGCTGTGGCAGGCCGGCCTTCATCTTAACACGTTTGTCTGTATTCACACAACCACGTCACTTACCAACCCATTGCTCCATTTTGCAGAGAAAGCTTGCTTAGTTTTACTGTACCTTTGCCTGGCTTTGTTGATTGTGCAAACCCAGCCCATAACATTAACTGAGGGCTTAGTGCATGCGGTGGGTCCAAGGAGTGGATTAATTTAGTAACCAGGTTAAATCATAGATTTATATTTTAATTAATCTCATTTAAACCATGTGATACAAAACCAGGAAGACTAAGTCATTATGGCTCAACCACATTGGAGCCCTGGACGCATGTGATGAAGATCCCGGCAAGCAAGCACATTATTAGAATCACAGGGATGGAAGGTACCTTGGAGGTCTTCTAGTCCAACCCCCTGCTCCAGCAGGAGATCCTAGACCATTTCAGACAAGTGGCTGTCCAGTCTCTTTTCAAACCCTCCAGTGATGGAGCACCCACAACTTCTGGTGGCAAGCAGTTCCACTGGTTAATTGTCCTCACTGTTAGGAAGTTTCTCCTTAATTCCAGGTTGCTTCTCTCCTTGGTTTCCATCCGTTGCTTCTTGACTTGCCTTCTGGTGGTTTGGAAAATAATTTGACCCCCTCCTCTTTGGGGCAGCCCCTCAAAAGTATTGGAAGACTGCTATCATGTTGCCCCTGATCCTTCTTTTCATTAGACCAGACATTCCCAATTCCTGCAACCGTTCTTTGTATGTTTTAGCCTCCACACACACACCCCCAATCCTCTTTGTTGCTCCTCTCTGCACACTTTCCAAACTCTCAACCTCTTTTTTATATCTTGGTGACCAAAAGTGGGTGCAGTATTCCAAGTGTGGCCTCTTCCATTCCCCCATCCCAAGTCGAACGCAGCGGCCAAACCGAACAAAGATCGCCTCTTCCACCCTCAACACTCAACCCTGCGAGGGTTGGCCCTGCAATCCCGTGGCGCCACGCCCACCGTAGCCGTTCAGACGTGCAACCCGTGTCAACCTCTGGTCGTGGGAACGCCTCCTCCGCCTCGGAAGGGAGTCGCTTAGGGGGACGGACCTGTCCTCGCCTTTCCCCCCCCCTCCCCCGAGTCACGTGAGCCAGAAAGAAGGCCAACATGGCGCAGTCCTAGGCAGCTTCATCGTCGCCCAAGCCCGGCCGGGAGGTTAAGGCAGAGGGAGAGAGAGAGAAAAAAAAAAAAAAGAAGAAGAAGAAAGGAAGAGAAAAAGGGAGGAGGAGGAGGAAAAGGTGGGGGTCGTTGCATTGCACGAAGTAGGCGCAGGCAGGAATCCGGCCCGGTGAGTTGGGGAGGGGGGGGGAGGCTGCTGGATTGATGCTGCAATGGCTGAGGGTGGGGGGGTGCAAAAGGCCCCCCACCCACCCACCCCTCCTTTGCACGGTGACCCACCTCGTAGCGTGGCCCTCGCGTCCGGTGCAATCCGGATTGGCAGCGGAGCAGCGGCTGGTCCTTTGCTCCGGGACTGCCGG